GGATATAGGATATACACCCCCCCCCCCCCCAAAAAAAAAAAAAAACAACAAAAAAAAGAAACCAAACCAACACAAACCAAACACTTAAATCAGGTCCACCCAACTGACTACTTGTGTAGGTGTTATTTTAGAAACCGCCATCACTGCCTAACTAAAAATGTTTATTAAGAGTTATGCCCAGATTACTAATTTTATATGCATCTTATTGTACAAAACTAAACATTTACAGACAATGTATATTTGCCGTGGTTTGACACAAATTTTGTCCTGCTTAAAAAGACAAAATTAGTCCCCCCCCCCCCAAAAAAAAAAAAAAAGAAACCAAACCAACACAAACCAAACACTTAAATCAGGTCCACCCAACTGACTACAGTTGTGTAGGTTATTTTAGAAACCGCCATCACTGCCTAACTAAAAATGTTTATTAAGAGTTATGCCCAGATTACTAATTTTATATGCATCTTATTGTACAAAACTAAACATTTACAGACAATGTATATTTGCCGTGGTTTGACACAAATTTTGTCCTGCTTAAAAAGACAAAATTAGTCCCCTAAAAATTAATTATTTTCATACTTCAGGCAGATTAATTCTAAAACTCATCTGCGACTGGTTTCAATACTGTACCAATTTTTAATTGCTCCAACCGATTGCAAACATTGGTTTTAATACAAATACTTGCAAGAAACACATTATTTTTCAAAGCACAGACTTTTTAACCCAATTAACTGATCTCTCCCTTCATGCAAAAGGATGCTGTTATTCCCTGATTAAGGACTCAGAACTTTTGTTTATTTCATGTTTCCTAAAAAATAAAACCAGTAACAGAACTACAATCATCAAAGTTATCTTACAGAGACACTCCATACGTCCTTAGACACAGAGAGAAACAGCAAATCTAGATACCAAGATACCAACCATGAAACAGTATTTTGGGCTACAGATCAGCAAAATACATGTGTCAAGAATGGCATCAGAAGCTTGAACAAACTAAGTCATTAGAAACTACAGTGATTTAAATTCTTTTAGTTCCAAGGCAAACTACAGGCAAAATTTTAATAAGCTGCTCCTGGGTTAACATCTTGTATTTCAAGTATAGCCTGGAGCAAATATTCAAGGCTGAATGACAAGTCTGTAGAAATGTGAAGCAGCATAAAATGCAGCAGTGTGAGAGTGGTTTGCAATAACGGCATGTGATAATTCCAAATTCTTGCATCAAAGGGTTTAAGAAAAAATTAAAATCACTCTGATACCTCAGAACTGTAAATGGCTGCGACAACAGATTTAATTACTAAATTTAGTCCCTGAGTACAGCTTTAAGCCATAGCTATCCATACCACGGGTGGAACAATAGGAAGCAGTTTTTATTCCTTCCCTTCCCACTCCTCCTGTGGGGGAGGAGGAGGAGAACAAACAACGGTGTGCACAGGCATGGCAGGAACCACTACTCTCCCTCCCCTCCCTGGGCCAGTTCGTGGCAGGCACCAGAGAAACAAAGGGCCAAAACATCTTAAAATGGATGTTTTAAAGTCTCAAAGACATGAGGGCACGTTGGATAAGGAAAGGTAAAGCCTAAAATTAAGCGGACCCCAGAAACTACATGCTCAGTGCCTTCTGCTCAATACAGGTTTGAATATTGGCAACTACTAAAGCTTCCAAATATTATGGCGACCACTGAGTCACCTTGCTCACGGGTCAGATCCAGCTGATGTACAAAACTGCAGTGCTTATTACTATGTGCTCAGAGTACCGAACTCTGATAACAAGCACTCATGTCAGCCAAATATTTCGGGTCTTATACAAGAAATCCAGATACTGCTAAGCAGGTAAGAGGTAACAGAAAAATCAATGGCAACCTCTGCTGGTTGGTTTTCAATGCAGGTAAAATGCTTCCCTTTCATGAATTATAATTAAAGGGACAAAGTGATTCAAAAGTAAGGAAGTTTGATTTCTTTCTTTGTGGAAATAGCAGCAGGCTTCCTTCACTACCAAGAAAAAAAAAAAAGTCATGCTGCAAGCTGCCAGGGGCTTTATCACCTCAGCTACTCCCAGAGCCCAACTCCCGGTGGCATTTTCTAAGAAGCAGCAGTGCAAACTACAACAGACTGACTCCACTAACTTGTACTGTATTTTACGTATATTTGGAGGCAAGTGAAAATTAAAGCAGAAATCAGCTAGTCCTGATGAAACTATGCAATTACAGACAGAATTTTACAAGATGTGGCAATATTGGAATGTAATATCAGAGGCAGCACATTAAAAAGCTATATGGAAAAAGTTTTCTATCTGTAGATTAGAGACAGATTAGGGACTCTGGCACAGTTTTAAACAAAATGTGCTTCAGGATTTTTTTAATTTGCATATAAAGAAAAGGAAGTGAGAAAGAGAAAACAGTTATGTTGGAAGAAGTTAGTGGCTGTCACCAAGGCAGTATTTTACATGGTGCATAAATTCCACAGCTGGTTATGTCCAGCAGAAGGACTAAGCACTCTTCTTCAAACTGAATAGAAGGAGCAATTCCACACCTCCTTTATGAATTACATCAGCTCGAAACAACAGAAGTTACTATCCAAAACAGAAGACTCACACCATCTGATCCTGCTGAAAACAGAGGAGATGTGGTAGGAGCTCGAGCTTTGTGTATGAAAAGCAAGCCTGTGAAAGCAGTGGTGATACGTGTGACCCTGTAAGGAAGCGAGATAAAGCTGCTCAGACAGAAGAATTCCATACAGAGGTAGATCTAGAAGCTCCAAGCAAGGAAACAATCTATTACTCATTTCTTCTACTCAGAAAGGAATAGGAATATGTATTTTCTAAATCTATTTT